TAATTCATGTAGACTTATAATAAAATCAGCTGCAATAAACTGTTGATTGTTCTCTCTATTTCAGTCACCAAAAGTAAACATTTTTGGTGGCTGAAATAGAAAGAACAATACACAAAGAGATCTCATCTTTATGTAAAATATCACTGCCTATGCACTATTGCTGCTATATCAATACCATGGAGTTAATAGATAAAGATTAAATTATTTCAAAAATGGAATTTCTTTATTTAAATACTGTATTACTTATGGCAGACTGCATTGTTTTCAATGTGCTTCTACCAAAATTTTTTCCAGAAACTGCAAAACATATTACGATTATTAATAGCTGAAGATAAAACAAATTTATATGAAATTGTAGGTCAGTTATACATAAAATATTCCGTATTAAAAAGTTATAAAATGAAAGCAGCTGATACTTTCTATGTTTACTGTTTTCAGTTGGCCAGGTGCCAGCATGACAGATGCATTATAAATGTGGTATATGTATCACTGGCATTAAGCCAACTTGTCACCTATGAAATGTGTAAAAATAATAAAAATATTATAAATAAATTTTAGTTATACTCAAATGCTAAATATCATTTTAGTCATAGCTCATCACTGAATATTTTGTCAAGATTAACTATGTATAGTTGGATAATGGCATTTGCTGTAGTCTACATGTTTTCCTTTCAAAAATTGTATGTTTCTGTCCATTTTAAACTTCACTTTTTGTATTAGTTTGTTTCTTCTATATATATATATATAACTAATTCTAATTGATACTTTCTTGATTTTGAGATATTTATTTTAATTTAAAAGTTTGATAAAAAAATTTTTTATATTCCTTAGCACATTGATACATTGCATAACTTAGTATTTTTTAGGAAATTTGCTGCTTTTACTGCTTAAGAGAGCTAAAATTAGTTCTTGTGTTTGTGATTATATTACACAAATAAGATTACTTTTCCAGCTTTGTTATATATAACAGAAGGAAAGTACTACGATTGGTCAAAAAATGACCCAACAGTTTTATATTTTTGGACTCAAGACCTTGAAATGTCAATGCAAAAAAAAAGGTGGTTTTTTTGTGTGTATGTGTGTGGGGCATGATTTTGTTCACCCACTTTCAAGCTTAATTCCTATGCTTTTTGTTGAAAATTTTCTGAAATTTTGCAAGAAGGTTTATTTGTTAGGGGATTGATGCTATTAAATTTTGATGGTTAAAGGTAGAGAGGATGGGAGATATAGGACAGTCCTGTGTCATATTTTTATTAGGGATGGACTTAATGAAGATTTTACTTGTTAATTAACATTTACAGTTTTTTTTGTTTATAAATCTCATCCCTACTCCCAAAATTAAGCTTTTTGCCATTTTATAATAATTAAATTAAAAAATTTTTTAATAAAAAAATCATAAAAGATAGTGCTACAAGCATTTTAAAAGTTGGGGAAAATTAAGCAAGTTGCTGGATTTTTTGGATGATTTTTAGTACTTTGTCTGATCTGTTACATTATCAATGTATTTTTATAGAATCATTATGTTAAGAATAATTAAATTTGTAAAAACTCAAAGGGAAAGTTTTATAAATTATGAAATATGCTGGTATTATTTACTATTTCATTGATTATTGTCTTCTATTTGTAATGAAATATCTTATTAGAATATTAATAAATGAATTTTCTTTGAAACAAATGTGTTTTGCATTGGTCTTGAAATAATTATTTTGAAAATTTTCGTAATGAAACCTTCATTGTGCTGTTTTTGACAGTTTAATTTTCAATAACACACAAGTTACTGAAATTTTTGGTAGCATAGCTTGTTGCCTTGATACCAAAATTTCTTTCCATTATCAAAAACTTGCTTGAACTTAGTCTTGAAATTTTGAATAGAACAGCAATAACATTATATTTATTGATAGCTTTTAATAGTTTCATAACTTTGTAGCCAATGAATATAATAATAAATATTAGCTCATGTTGACAATCATAAATTTCAGTTTGACAATCAAGTCTTAGTTGTAGGTTAGATGAATATAGCCAAATAAGGTTCATATATTATATACTGTATATGTTACAGTTAAAACCCGTTTTTAGTTAGAACGCGTTTTAACTAGTTGAATCTAGTTTTTACTGAATGTCTTTGTTAAAACCCGTTTTGTCTAGTTGAAACTAGTTTATACTGAATGTCTTTGTTAAAACCCGTTTTGTCTAGTTGAAACTAGTTTATACTGAATGTCTTTGTTAAAACCCGTTTTGTCTANTGGTCGAAGCAGATTCCTTTCTACTAGTTGATTTTGACTTATGAAGTGGTGGTCTTCCTCTTTTAATTGGCGAGCGTTGCATATTAATTATGTTGATAGATTTTCCAACAATTATAATGTTAACACACAGCACAAACAAATAAAATTTTAACGTAAAATTATTTGACAGGATACATTCTTTACCTGTATTTGAAGTGAGTAAAAAAAACGCGCCAGCAGCTTCGGCAGACAAAAGCGCCCCCCGAAAATTTTATTTATTAATGCAATTCTAATTTTATTTTGTTTAATAATCACAAATAAAACATCAAATGCACATAAATTCACTCATTGTCCCACAAAAATTACTGGCATTTCGTGTGGGATTCCCACACGAAATGCCAGTTTCCCACGAAATGGATTAAAACTTATATTGGGCTCCCGTGTGATTTTGGAATTTCAATTTGGAATTCAATTCAAAAGCTTTGCTTTTCCTATTGCTACTTGTCTTTACTCTTAACAATATACAAGAACGATTTGAAACAACCCAGATAAAATACTTTTGTTTTTAAACACCAGAGGATGAGCATCTGGTAAAAAATGTGAATACACAGTTCACAAAAATTATTTGCAAAAACACAAAGAATCTTTCGCTTGCATGTATGGGACAATCTAGGAATTTGAAGCTGTGATAAATGAATAAAAACCTCATCTTATATGTGAGTGAATACAGTATATATAATTTTATATACAGTATGTATATTTTTAAATAAGGTTTGGAAATATTAAGATATTGTTTAAGGTTGATTAAAATGTATTCTAAGATTAATATATACAGGATGTCTTGGTTCAACATTTCAGAACTTCTAAGAGGGGTAGGGTGCATCCCGACGACTTGGAATCATATAGCAATGCAGGGTTGGAAATGCTTTCCTGAAGCGGTGATGTACAGTACAGAAATAGCTAACCTCTGGTGCAGGCTTGCAAAGAAGTTATGGCTGGGAATACACCTCATCAGATATCGTTCCGCATACAAGTGCTGTGCGCTGGCCCACTATAATCTGCAGGCCCGTACACCAAATGCATATCAGGTAACTCTGTGTCCTTGTGCGAAATGACGATATCCCTGCAAGAACGCTCAGAACTTTCTCGCAACACCATCTACCACATGAGGAAAGCATTTCCGACCCCACATAGCTATATGATTCCAAGTCATCAGGATGCACCCTACCCCTCTTAGAAGTTCTGAAACGTTTAACTGAGACACCCTGTACACACATATATGAATCATTTTTGACGACTTACTTCTGACTCGAAACCAAAACAGTGCTTAGTTCAATATAGCTTCACTAACGTTTTTGAACTTAGTTCTTCTTCAGGTGAATAAAAGATATTTCAGTTTAATAAATCATTTTTGTTTTTTATGTTTATTTTTATTTATTTTGAAATCATTATACAAAGATCTGGTAAGAATATCCTTGATTAATTATATCAATACACCTGAATTTTTTGCCGAGCATAAGTTATTTTATTCTCAAATGTTTTCAACCTACTTACATATAGGCCATCGTCAGGTTTAAGATTACCATTCCAAAATAGAATGCAATGTTTTTTGAATACTTTTCATTTTAAATTTAAAAGATTACAATAATTGTGTATATTAAATAAATGAAAAAATTAATCAATAAAATAAATAAATAACGGTTTTCAGTTGGCCAGGTGCCAGCATGACAGATGCATTATAAATGTGGTATATGTATCACTGGCATTAAGCCAACTTGTCACCTATGAAATGTGTAAAAATAATAAAAATATTATAAATAAATTTTAGTTATACTCAAATGCTAAATATCATTTTAGTCATAGCTNAAAATTTGCACAACTTTTAATACTAAGTATTTTTGCAATATGACAATTATAACCTTATTCTCTCTTTCCAGCAGTTAATTTCAGTCTTGTACTAATGTTTCCAATTTGCTTGAAGTCTTCCTCAGGTCTTTACCATTTCAAATTAAAATTGTTTAAGAGATTCTAGTTCTGAATGCTTTTTAAGAATTTTTTTTATGTAGAAGTAAAAAGAATTCTTAAAAAGCAACTTTGCATTAGCATTTTCTCAAGGAAGTCAAAAATATTAGTGCAAGTCTGAATTCATTATCTGTTGGAAAGAGTGAGTAAGATTATAATTTTGTCATATTGTGAACTGAAGTTCCAGCTTGAACATTTGAAATGATCTGGACAAATTTGAAGATATGATGATCTATAATAAGTAGGTTGAAAACGTTTGAGAATAAAATAATTTATGCTCGGCAAAAAATTCAGGTGTGTTGATATAATTAGTTACATTTGCTGAGAAACAGGTGATAGTATCCTTGATTAATCTCAAGAGTAAAATTAAAATTCTGAAATGAACACAAGAACTTCTCACATATCCTGTTCTATGTTTTAACATTTAAATGATATAAATGAAAGCGAAAGCCATATCTGTAGATAGTTTTTAGAATGTAAATTGTTAAATGAATTATTTTGCATTGCAAATCATATTGTTACCACAAAATAGTGTGGTTTTTCAAATGCTCAAACTCAAATTTGTATATAATTATTATTACTATATAAAATTCTTACTGTTTGAGATATTTTAGTTTAATTCTCTATTTGATTCAGCATCATTTTCAGAGGCATACAAATAATGGTACTACATTGATATTTGACTGTAGTTTCGAGAGAAAATATGAAGTTGCACTAGATAATTTTAAGATATTAAAACTGAATGTAAANGAAGACGTGAAGGAAACGAGGGCCAAGTTCTCGGGGGTTACGGTGACGGTGGCACGTTTTTCCCCTCGCGCACGCGCGGATGACGTCCTCGTCGACGACGTACGGGAAACTACATGCCTTAAATCCGCACGCGCGCCTGCGTGTACATATTACTATGGGTCGAACGCCGATTTAAGTCTTGGATTAACGTTTGTTTAGATAACACGGCGCGCTCCGCGTCGTCGACGCCGACGCAATTATTAGACGTGGTACTACATTGATATTTGACTGTAGTTTCGAGAGAAAATATGAAGTTGCACTAGATAATTTTAAGATATTAAAACTGAATGTAAATTTAAAGATTTTGCGAAACCACTTGCAATTTATATGGAGTTTGTCTGTGGAAAGTCTCTAATTTATTAACAAAACACTTCTAGAAAGCATTATTTAACTAATGGTATTAAGTGTTGTTAATTAAAGATACAGTTCGTGTAATTGTATCTGGATAGAACAAGGTACAAAACTTATTTTGTGACATTGATATCTACTATCAAAATTCCTTCAGTTCCAATTAGAAAAACAAAGACAAAATAAAATTAGTTTTTGGAACAAATTCTAGTTCAAACAAATTAATACAAATTAAGGATTATTGCAGAATCCCCAAAATCATATGAAATATATTAGTTTTTAAAATTATAATAATGCTATTATTCTATTTCTCAAAATATATTTAATAGTTGAATAAAAAAATGAAGCTAAATAAACTTAAAATATTAAAAATTAAATGATAATAACAATAGAGAGGTTGAGGCGCACGTTTTAAACGTGTACGTGTGACGTTCGGCGCCGCTTTCCCGTAAGCCTAAAAGTTTGACAATGGTGTTTGGATAGTCGGTGGAATCACGCTCGACATTTCAAACACCATCGTCAAACTTTTAGGCTTACGGGAAAGCGGCACTGAACGTCACACGTACACGTTTACACATTTAAAATGTGCGCCTCAACCTCTCTAATTACTATAATTTTTTGCATATAACCTGAAGGTTATCTTTTTTTTTTTTTTTAATTTTAAAGCAGGTGCAGGCTATGCATCTTAACAACATTTGCAGGTTACATAGGAGATTTTGTTAATTTTGATTTGTTTTTAAAAGTTTTTTTGTAGATTCCTTTGACATTTTATACTGTCATAACTCTCTTGTTGTGAATATATATGTGGAATGGGAATAAAATGTACTAAAAAGTTGTCATTTTCATCTTTCTAATCAAAATCTTAGTTTTTGATGTATACCATAAAAAAACTAAGATTTTGACTAGATTTTGATCAAAAACTAATAAAATTTTCAGTATATTTTATTCCTATTCCACATATATACAGTATATTTTTAATTATTCAGCATTGCATTAACTGGGATAACAAAAATGGCTGTGAGTAGCCAGTAAATCATAAATTACTTTGACTCATCTGTTTTACTGGCTCTTGACCTGAAGGGGAAGGGAAATGATAAAATTTTCTGAAGTGAACTGGTATAAAGGTAACTGATATCACCTTTATAATACTATATAGTAAGTACTACATTCACCTTCAATCAAGTGATGTGTGCTCCCTGCGAGAGGTAATCACTACAATTAAATATGATTACATTTTTTGGCCCAATGCCTTCCTGCAAGAAATTGTTCTTTATCCAGACCTGGAACAGCCAAAGCAATATTGTCAGATGGTAGAGCAGACTTTCCCTGCTAACCCAAAATAGAAGTATTTACATAGCATCCATAATTGAATCTGTCCAGTCAGAGTTATGGACGAAGATAAACAATGGCATCTGGTTCAGTCTCCCATCTCAGTAATATTCAGGTTCACTGCTTAATTTTGTCACTCTGACCAGAACTAATAAGTTTTCCCAAGGCCATTGTCTCTAGATTTACTAATGATAACACTTGATAGCAGCTCTTCCTACATACAAAACACATTACTAGAGGTATAAAGGTAGAATGCATATCAACACAGTCTTCCTTTATTTTCTAGTTGCTAAACTTAAAGTATGTAATCTCTAGATTAAAGACCTTTCAAAGAATAGTATGTTTTAACAGTATAATGATGTGGAGGAGGAGTTTAATGGCGTCATAAAATTATTGAATTACTTTAATTTCAGTGGTAGTCATGACATTTGTCTTCTGTTTTCAGACAAATTGCACTCAGAGCTCTGACGGAGAGACTGAGCAAAGTAGAGCAGCCAGCGTGGCCGTCACTCACCGAAGAAGAACCAAAGGGTCGAGAAGACAAGGTGAAGCACGTAACCATCGCCATTCCGCCCGCGCCGCAGCACTCTTCGCCAGCCTCCCCCGCGGAGGCGACGTCAACTGCCGCCACGACGGCGAACGATCAGGAACAGTCAAATTCACAGACGAAGACGTGAAGGAAACGAGGGCCAAGTTCTCGGGGGTTACGGTGACGGTGGCACGTTTTTCCCCTCGCGCACGCGCGGATGACGTCCTCGTCGACGACGTACGGGAAACTACATGCCTTAAATCCGCACGCGCGCCTGCGTGTACATATTACTATGGGTCGAACGCCGATTTAAGTCTTGGATTAACGTTTGTTTAGATAACACGGCGCGCTCCGCGTCGTCGACGCCGACGCAATTATTAGACGAGATAGCTTTGTAATATATCTGTGATGCAGAATATATATACAAACCTATTAACATACGGAACAATTGTATAATTATTATTATTATTAAAAAAAAAAAAGCAAATTCGACCCCCTCCCCAATTTGTTTAAGATTATCATTGGTAAAAAGTAAAATTGCTGTTATTAATTGTATAAATGTTTATCGAGTTATCGACCGTTTTGTGTTTGTTTTTTCGGATTATGTTGGAGATTATTTCAAAAAGAAAGCAAATATTTTGATCAAAACTTTGTAAAAAACAAAATAAAACGCAAAAAACAAAAGAATTTTAAAGGAAAAAAAAATCAATGTTTTAACCAATATTTATGGAACTCCATTAGTGCACACGTTGAAAAAAAGGTTTTAACACTTCTAATTTTTGCGTAAATACCAGTAGTTCGAATTTGTTTTGTTTGTTTATTTGATTTCTCTCAATTGTATAGAAAAATTCAAATTTTACTCGAAATCACCAATTGATGTTTTTTTTCCTTTTTGTTTTCTAAAAATGCAAATTATTTTGTGTACACTTTTTAATTATTGCATATGCCGATGTACAGTACAGTATATTTTGCCATTGGAATCGCCCGTGTTGTACATAATATATATATATAAAGATGTGAACAAAATCGAAAGAATTAAATTTGTTTCCGACGATAATTAATTGTAATTATTTAAGGAATTTGTTCGAATTAAATATACTTAAAATTTTAAATGGCTGCAAATTGTCATTTCTTTGTGATTGATTTCAAAAGAAATATTCCATTGTTCTTTAATATACTGGATGATACTTGTCATATCATCATCTAGTGTTGTCCTCAAGCTCTTGAGGGTGCTCTGCTCTGCTGATTTTACTGAGCGTTCGGATAATTAATCCAGTGAACTGATGTCAAAGTAATGATACAAATCGTAAAGCTCTGTTTCCATTTATGGAAAAGTAATGTGGAAACGAAATATTCCGTTTCCTGGTATTTTCTTTGCCACGAACCCAGAAAATAGACAAATCTTTTCAAAACGGCCGGATGACCGAATGGTAAAGGCGACAGCCGACAGCCTGAGGGAACCCGAGATCGAATCCGGACGGATCGAAAAAACTCCAGGAATTTTTTGGATTGGCCTCTTTGTGGGCTGGACGAAGCCATAAATGGACTTGTTTTTTAAAAAAAAAGCTCTCTTAATTCACACGGCGGAATGTAAAGAAAAAAAATTCAAAAATGAAAAATATAAAATCAAAATGTCGATCACAGATCAACGAATATCTAAAGGAGGTTTTAATATTGGGCGCCACAAAATTTATCCCCTTCCGAAAATACAGTAGTAACAAATTTTACGTTGATTTATGGCCGTTGTTATTCAAAAATTAAAAAAAAATCAATCTTTGTTTATATCTTTCGTACCTGTCGACTTTTAAGAGCTCGCATGGTTCTAACAGAATGGTTGGAGACACTTGCTTGGGCTGCCCATAAATTACATAAAGCAGATATAGATGGGTAAGCAGCTAATTCTTACGACGCGTTGCAAGGGTGTTGAGGATATTTACAAAAAAAATGTCACGTAATGTTAGGGTCTTTAAATCGACTGTAATTGTTAAATAAGTAGAGATTAAGCAACCACTTTTTTCCAAATGGTGACAATTCGGATTTGACTATAACTTTCACTGTAATTTGTAAAAAAATGCACAGAGGCGAATCAGCACTGTTTGTACGTTATACATGTAATTAATAAAATAATGTGATGTTCAGTATCCCATGTATATTATTTAGTACAATTAATTAATGGTTGATCGAGGATATGCGTTACGTAATTTTTGGGATGATATATGTGACAGCATTATTGAACATTACAGGGGAGGGATGGTGGTTGAAAAGTATAAAAATAGCGTTACGTAATTTATGGAAGATCTGTATTATTTATAACTAATTGATCATTTTATTCATGTTTTATTCGGGTTCCCGTCGCTTTCGTAAAAAATCGAAACTTTCTAGAAATTGTAGAAAGTTTCGTTTTTTTTCAAAGCTCGGTCGAGATAATCATTTTAATCTTATAAAAAATTTAAACTGAATTAATAATAAATTAAACCAAAATAAAATTAATTCCACACGCTTACAATTCTCCCTCGGAGTAATTTTTGATTCTTTTGAACAGGTTGACTATCTGCACTGTAAACGGTTTATATGGAGCTTATAGTGGCTATTCGCCTTATACTCCGAGAGACTGGTGGTTGATCGCTAGGCGACCGAAGAGCCGGCCTTATAGAAGACGGCCTAAACGTACGCGAGGGAGACAGAATGCCTTTCTGGGAGGACTTTTTATGGGAAGCTGGCCCCTATTCAGGCATCATCGGCAAGGAGCAAACCCGGAAAAACTCCGTGCTGCCAGCCCGTTCGAGCGAGGCGCGAACTCTGTGTTTAGGTCTGGTCTCCGCCGCTATGAGCGCCGTTAATCTTTGTGAACATAAAGCACTCTAGAAAGAAAGCGCAAAATGCCCGTTTACCTGTATAACTGCACCTACCAAAGCTAATCTTGCTCTCCAACACGTTGGTTTATAACTTATTTAGGATCAAACCTTCATTGGTTTTTGTACCTAGTGCTAAATCTGCCAACAGCTTTAAACTTGAAGAAAAGAATACACTACATTAATTTGTTGGGCGAGGACTTTCTTTCCTAAAAAAACTTACACACGTGATTTTTATTGATCCGGTAACAACTGATTCAATGATTTCTCTTTTTTCTTTTCTTCGAGGCTCTACATTTGTTAGAATCTTTTACATTCCTAATTTTAAATGTACAGCAAAAGGAAATATGGACTGAATTAATGCTGTTCCATCAATCGTAATTTGCATATCCTCCTCTGACCTCTCATCCATTAAAATGGATGTTTGTTTTTATTTATTTAATATTTTTCTGTTCATTTTATCGAGTTCAGACCAGGAATCCTTTATAGTGGAGTTTTCACTTTTCATCGTCAGGCATCTGGCAACATTGTTTTTTACTTTTTATTTATTTTAGTACTTAAAAAACACTAAGGGTCAAAGGTTGATGTTGAATCCATAAATGGACTTTTTATAATACAAATATTGTAATTTTAAAATAAATTGATTAAAAAATACATTTTTTAATTCTCGGGTCTGAGGACGAGATAGCTTTGTAATATATCTGTGATGCAGAATATATATACAAACCTATTAACATACGGAACAATTGTATAATTATTATTATTATTAAAAAAAAAANCTTATTTATTTTGGCTGATTAAACTTCAGTTTTAAAATATTCAGAAGAATGATCTACTTTCTTGACGCATTTATACGTTAAAAAAAGTCGATGCATTAATACAATGAACCGAAAATGTTAAACATTTCATCGTTGATTAAGAGGTGCCCAAGAATTAGTCACCAATATTCATGTAATTTTATTTATTAAACAAAATTGATTTACGAACTGTAATGCACATTATTTTACTGATTAATGCTTCTTTTTGGAAGCATGTGTAAGAGCATGTGTTGTAGAACGTGTTCTGACCTCATACTTTCCAGTCAAATAGATCCTCTTCCATGCGGCATTCATACCAGTAATTTATTTTCCAGAATCATTTGCTACTTGGTTACAGATTTTTCTCCATACCTGTTAAAATTATTTATTTTTGGTGCCACTGCCTGCAAATACTATAAAGTATTTGCAGTTTTTAAAGCCACATGTTTGAGAAACTTTTGGGTGGTTTCATCTTTATGGGCAAAACTGAGCTTTACTCTTTCTGACGATTGGATGGCTTCTTTTGTGTAATGGCATATTGCCGTGTCAGGCTAAAATAAAACTTTAACAACATTATGAAGATGATATATCCAAAGTAACAGTCGCTTCTTCAAACATTCCTTTAAGTGCATTCTGCCATTCATAGAGCACTATACAAAATAATGTGACACATCACCATCCTCATCTATTGCTTGCCAAATCAAATGTCGCTTCGGGAATTTGGTTTTCCTTGAACTTTTATTGAAAATCAACTTGGTCTGGACTAGAGTTATGGAAATATTCCCGATCTGAAACATCTTTCGGATCATTTGAAATATAAATATCATGCAGTTCCAAAATTTTCTGGCATCATTTACTTTACACTGTTCGTAGACCAGTTTTTACAAGTGCTTCTTTGTCACCTGCATACTTCGGAGCTTCGGTTTTTACTCTTTCCACAATTTTCAACTTGTGAACTTTGATAGAACTAACAGTTGATTGTTTTATGTAACTTAAATCTTGCTGCTTCACAAATAGTCAAATTCTGATCCACCTCAAATAGTTTTCTAATATTATCTATCACCTTCTTAGTAGAAATATTCACAGGACGGCCAGGATTTTTCTTGATTTCATTTGATATGATTTTTACATTCTATTTTATTAGTTACTTTATTCCAAACATTTTACAATAGATGTTAAAAGTACCCATTCAGGGTTTGATTACGTTCATTGTATCTACACTAGTGATTCAAAATCTGTGAAACATGGCTGGATTGTGTCGGGTTTGGTGAAAAGCATTACGTAATTAACTCCTCCATGTTACACTGAAATGACGTACACAATACTCTTGGCATGTTCCCAAATAAAAAAATTAAGTACGATGGTGCCCCGCCACATTTCAGCAATGTTGTGCAAGAACACTTGAACAACGTATTTCAGACAGCTGTTCTTAACGTTTTGTGAATAGTTTTCTAGTGTATGTGAAATTGCTTTCGTAACGGTTGTAAAAGCTATTAGTAAAATATCATTAGTCAAAACATATTGAAAACTACTAAGATAAACAAATCTAAATGCACGTGTATAAACAGGATTCAATATTTTACACACATTAATCTTATGCAAATATTTCAAAATATTCTGCCTATTTTTCTCTTTCTTTAAAATTAAAAGTAATAATATGTAATTTCTTATTGTAATAATAATAGAAGTGTAACGAGGTAAAGCTAACTATGCACCTAACTAGCTATGGTAAGCTGTGAAGAAGCAATATGACCTCTCCATGGTTATATTATTAATACTATTTTTACTACTTATCCGTATTAATTTAAAGTCATTTTGAAAAATAAATCTGTAAATGCCAATATAGTGCTGTTTGCTTCCACATTGTTGTTCGGTTGCCAGATGTTCCAGTAAAAAACCGTTCACCAGTGCATCGGTTGTGGATAAGACTGATGCATGCTCATGAGTGGTATTAATGTATGCACGATGTCCACGGTCTCGTCATCGATATGTAATTGAGATAATCAACAGAACAGTTATTATTCTTATCTTTAAAATTATCATTATTTAAATCAATATAAATTTTACCAATTTTTACGTAACGGTGTTGTTTGAGGGCATCTTTTATTTCGACATGTTTTGTTACTTTAAATCTGAATTTTTTCAAATAGATTATCTTTATTTTTACAGAAGGCAACAGCTGTTTCCGTATCTACTATTATTCATAATTAGTTCAATCTCAAAGTTAATATATTTTTATATTGCAATGATCATTGAATCTACTTCTAGACTGATTTTAATCTAAAATATTTCACTTTAATGAATTTCGTTTAATCTGAAAAAGCAATTTTGAACAACGTTGAAGCTTCGTTGAGTATACTTTATACAAAAGTAATTTTTCTTTTCACGTTATGGGCATTGAACGCCCTTTTTATACCCATTGTCGGTTCGGCCAACAGGGCTATCGTGAGGAGGTGCTGGAGATTTTTTCCAGGCATTCATCTGGCAACCGAACAACAATGTGGAAGCAAACAGCGCTATATTGGCATTTACAGATTTATTTTGTCAAGAAGTTAGGATCCCTAAGTAGTCTTTACCCCTATAAATTAATGTTATTTTTACTAACAAAAATCAAAATATTTGTGTGTGTTTTTTTTATTAATATGGAAACATTTTATGTACAGGTAACCCCCGTATAACACGGCACTTCTATAGCACGGATTCACTCTAACACGGTTCGAGAATTGATACCATCCCCCGTATAACACGGTACTTTTATAGCACGGATTCACTCTGACACGGTTTGAGAAATGGGTAAAACCCTCGTACAACATGAAATGTAATAAATTTTTACATACTGAAGTACTAATAGTTCACGAAAATTATTATTTTCGTGAACTATTACTACTTCAGTATGTAAATTTTGTTTTCTCGCCTCCATACACATGGTCCTTCGCGAAAATTGTTTCAATTTTGCCAGATCTCGACGCTTCTGCTTCTGACGTTGCCAGATGTTTTTCCCTTATTCCATAAGTGCTTAACACCATATAAGGAAATTTATAAAGATCTTTTAACTAGAAGCAAGCAATCTAAAATTACATACACTTTTTGCAAAAGGTAAAGCATGAATCTGAAAATAATGCAGAAAAATGCTCAGAGGATAACGATAACTTGCCAAAAATAAAACGCTCACGGTTAATAGTGCTTTTAGTGATGACGAAGAAAACATTGTTTAATTTATATTAACATGTATCGCTTAAGAAAATTTTAATAAAGATATTGATCTTAATTATGAAAATATAGTGGCATGTTTTTTAATTTTTGGAACCTAACCCTCTTTTTCGTACTAGTTTCGTACTATGTTTTTTAATTTTTTGGAACGTAACTACCGTGTTATACGGGGGTTACCTGTATATCATTAAAAAATAAATAGAAAAAGGGCACCGCTCTACCCGATTCCTTACAAGCTCTCGATGGCCCTGTCGTACTCAGGTTTAAACTGGCACGGCCCAGGGACGGATCATCCCATAGACAAATGTCTAGGGCCCGGTCAGACTGTCTATTTTGAAAAGATTTGTAAATAAGATAGTTTACTTTTCTGTTGGACAACTGTATATAATAAACAAATATATATTGCTTTTTATATGGTTATTGTGAATTCTAAAATCTTAAGAAAATGTGTTTTTATGTTCTTATGTGGGAGGGAACTTGGTAAAAAGAAAATGTCTAGGGTCCCAAAGTGGATTAATCCGGCCGGGTGGTGAGGGATAAGGCCCGGACATATCCGAGACAGTCCTCTATGCCTTACTTTCTACAGTTCCCATCCATCCTTCTACTCCTCTTTTTGGTCTCACTGTAGTGATATTGAAACCAGCAGGCATTTCTACACATTCAAACTATGTAAACACGTAAAGGAAGTTGATGACATCAACTTTCTTTACGTGTCTACGTCATTTAAATGTGTTGCACTCCCCAATAAAGCACTTTAAACAAATTCAAATTTCCCTCCAGTTCACACGAGAAGCGGTATAGTCTACAGATTCAGAAAACGTCTTCGACTCTCTTCTCTATATTGCATTTTCTTTTCGTAATATTCTGAAAAGTTTGAATTTTTCAAAAATATTCGATGAACATTTTCAACAAATCTAATACAGTAACTGCTTAACTTATAAATACAATAGTGTTAGCAGTAGCGTAGCGAGGGGGTGCAAGGGGGTGTATCATGCACCGGAAGCCCCTCTGCGAGTGGCGCCCAAATGGTCTCCAAGACAAAGTATGTGTTTCTGGGGAGGGGGAGCGCCAATAGTGTCGTGCCCCGGGCGCCATTTATGTTCGCTACGCCACTGAGTGTTACGTCTTTTTTTAATTTTTAACTCTTATCCTGTGGACACTGAAAGGTTCTTTTTATCAAGCCCATTGTAGGTTCAACCAGGCCCAGAATAAGGAGGCCTGGCTGAACCCACAATGGAACGGTGAAGGAAGGGCCCGATATATGAGAGTTGGATTAATCCCCAAAAAAGTTAGAAAACAAGTCAGGACGTCATATAACGAGATTTTTTTTTCAAGATTTCAAGCATCGCATTTCGAAGAATGTTCGTTGCTTACAAGTTATCTATGGTGGGGAACGATACATAATCAAGATCCAGGACATCGGCTCCATTCTTATTCTGGGAAATACTATATAATCAAATATAGGTTTATAAATTTAGCCTAAATTCGAGTAAATAGTAACAATAAACACAATTATTTAATTCTTTCTTTATATAATTTTTTTTAATTCCTATCCAAATGAATTTTAACAATGGAGAATTTAATTAACGAGATAGTATCAAGTTTCCAAAATTTAATATTGCTTGAGTGAATCAGAAAAATACATCGAATGTTTACGCTTTCGTGACTTCACAGCGTGATTTACCATAAAAAAATTCAATTGAATTTAGTTATATTTTAGCTGTCTTTTAATTTCCCTCATGTATGAGAACGTTACATAATCCAACCTACAATTGATTTTGATTTAGAATTTCGGGAAATTTAAGAAAGGAAAAACTATTTCATAAAGATACAAAATCATAAATAAATTTCCTATAGTTAAAATATAAAAATATTTATTTTTCGTAACTCTTCGAAATTTTTATTTTAATACATCGTTAATTTATTTCGGATTATTACTGTAGAATTTGGAGAGCATTGCAATCTCTCTGGATCAAAATAAAACGAATCCATATCTTAAAAGTCTCTCTGTAACCAGCCATCATAATAAAAATCACTAAATGAGAAAAGGAAAAAGTGTTCCAAAAAATTTTTAGTTAATTTACCGAGGAAAAACTTCGAAGTAAAATTAATAAAGGAAAATAAAAAAACACTGATCATTAAAAAAAACTGTTATATTTAAGATCTGAAAATGAAGCCAAAATTTAAAAGACTTAAATTAGTAAATGTACGAAGTCAAAAATATATACTTTTGGTCTCATATTGTTTCATCTACATATGAATTTTATCTAAAGCTTTTTAAATTAAATCAAAATCTCAAAGAACCCGATTTACAACTATAATTTTATTTTCTGCATTAAAAAATGAATAAATAAAAATACATCGTTTGTTTTAAATAAAAAAACGAAATATTTATATTTTAATTCTATATACAATATTTTTATGTACAGTATATTTATATTTAATAAAACCATAATGATGGTCAACACCATAGAAAAATATATACAAAATATCAATTTCGTCGTCTTCTCACTCTGGATATTCTCCAAGCATTGGGTTCCTCATATTTGTTGTACAAAGGTTCCAGTCTTAGTTGTTTCTTATGTTTGCTCAGTTTGGTGGAATCGGCAAACTTGTAAAATGCGGGAGCAAATTCCACCAGCCACTTGGGGTCAATGGTGACCACTTCTCTCATGTATTCTTTGGTGGTCTGGATGAGTTCATGATATACAACCCTGGCAATTAAAATGAAAATAGTGTGATATAGAATATTACAATTAGCTATACTAAAACAAACAATAGCCTATCAAAAACTAAGTTTTCTTCTGAGTTTAAATCCAATAATTTATTTATTAAGCATTTTTAAGAAGTGTTTTCGGCATCAGAATCTAAGCATTCTAAAAACAAAAGATGAGAAATAATAGGTTTTGTGTTTGTGAGACATCAAACAGTTTTAACCAATACAGTACAGAGAAATAATTTTTGATATTGAAAAGCAATGAAAAATTCCCAACTGAATGAAATTCACACAACTAATGATACAATGTTCTAATAATACCCAGCACAAATTATTTTTCAAATTAATGTAATGCCATGAATACTAGTATTCCTTTCTTCATATGTGCAATAATGATGTGGCTGTATTTAAAGGACAATCACACCACAGGTCTTAGGTTGACACAGGTATTGTACTGTATATATGAAGAAATAAACTTTAGGATGAAAAGCTTTACCATACAGTGTTCCTTTGTTTGTTTTATGTTTAAACCTTGCAAAAAATTTAAGTTTTATTTGGAGAATGTTAGTTTTTAAATATCCAACAGAAATTATTTTTCAAAGTCATATTATTCGTTGTTTGATTAAAAAGTACTATACTCATGATTTGCAACTAAACAATTAGATAAATAAATAAATTGTTATAGATAATTTATATATAATCAAAAACAAAATAATATATAATTATTATATATTTTTTCACATTCTTACCATTCTGGCTGTCTATTAAATAAAGCACTGGATGGATGAATGTACACCACCTGTCCGTCCACTAGTGTGCGATATCCCTCCTGAGGATCTTTCTTTGCAGTATTCCTGAAAAAGCCACTGCATATGGCCTTTTGCACCCTTGCTGTATTTTTGCCACAGGATACCACATCTAATTTATGCCTGAAAAATATCAATTTTTATTTATTATATACTTTCTCTTTTTGTTAAATTACATAATAAATTTATTCAATGAGAGACCATATTCTTTTTAAAACATTTATCATAAAACTAACTATAATTAATATGTTATCAATTCAAACATACATTTGTCCATACTCACACGATAAATGACTTAATAGAGAGAATAATTAGAAAACTAAATTAGTTGAAATATATAAAATTTTAAGATCATTATATTCAATAATGTTCACATATAAATATTACAAGTGAATAGTTTATATATTGTTTTAATTGTGCTGCAATTTGAAAAAATTGTAGACCTATAAATTCCCACTGTTGTCCATTTTTCCTTAATCTTGAGAACAGAGTTAGATAGATAAAAGACAAGAGCAGATATGGAAAGATTAGGGGCAGGAGGCCTGATTAACCATATAAGAATGTCTGGTGCAAACTGGAAGTCACGTTATTTCTATTAAAAAATCTTTCCCTGAAAGGAGTTAGATAGATGAATGGCACAACTCTGTCACTAATGGAAAAGTATGATGTACAGGACAAGACACTACTAATTTGAAGTGGAAAGCATATATTTTAAATTAAAAAATTATTAAAAATTGCAGCCTGGCATTGTGATGATGTCACAATAAATAATTATTAATATTTAAAACAATATATATCTTTTGTTATTTATTTGTGAACATTATTGAATGTAACATATTTCAACTAATTTAACCTTCTGATTATTTCTAGAATAATAATAATAATAATAATAAAATATTAAATTCACCCACCTATCCATAATACCCAACAATTGTTTTCTAACATCCTGTGCTCTTTTTAATGTACGAATCTGAACAAAATTTTCATAACACCAAGCATTTGAAAATTTGTTGTTTTTCCAAGAATTATAAACGGCAAGTAAAGTTAAATGGTCACCTTCTGCCTGATTAAATTTGGCTTTCTTTTGATCAGCCAAAGCTTGTTTATCCTTTTAACACACAAAAATAAAATTTAGCAAAATTTTTATTATTTTTAAACATTTAAAACATTAATTAAATAATACCTTTGGTCTGTAAAACACATTCTGTACAGACAACATAGAAACAACTGTCAAGACTTCCTCACTACAGCTAAGATGAACAGACATAATTAACAGTTTTGCCAAATTTGGCTCCAGAGGAAATTCAGCCATCTGTAAATGAAATTTTAATTGTTATACAAACAACAAATAAGGAATAAAACAGAAATAATGCAATATATATTTTACAGATTAAGTAGGATACCAATAATAGTACAAAGTAAAGTTTATTTTGTAGATTTAATTTGATTTAAGCTTTTTCAAAATCTCACAATTGAATTAGTTCATATATTTTTTTCTTAATTAATTAATTATTTAATTAACTAATTAATTAA